AGTGAAGTCATACAATGAGGTATCGCTTTGCATGACAGTAAATTTTCTGATTTTAATGAATATTTTGACGGTATTGTAATCTGTTTGACTTCCTGACTACCTCAGCCCGGGTGTTTACCCGCACCGCGGTTCGAGACAAAAGAACGCTAGTCGTTTCCAGACCGGGGATAGAGGGACTGTGGTTATACATAACAAAGACAATTCAAATCCAGCAACAAACTACATTGGCATTGGCTAATCAAAAATGACTAACATGACCTGATATAGCAAGAATAACAAATAACAAGCCATGCATGGCACAGTCCCCATTAGTTATCGAATTTATTTTCGCTAAAAAAGCTTTTGGGGCATTTTGCTCCATGCAAAAATAAAGTATTCTACAGTATATAGTTTTGTTTATAGTAATATAGCTGGAATATAAACATGTCAGGAATATGACTATGATGATTGTTTAACATTTAAATGATTGACATTTGTATCTGATCGTCACGAGTATTGAGAGATATTGCTCTGGAACAGCATTAATTAAAACAAAATCAGCCATTTTGAATACATGTATAATGAATATATAAAATTTGAACACAGTCAGTCAAAGCATGTCAGAGATACAGTACTCATTCCGCCCAAGCTCTCGCACTTTTCGCTTAATTTCCGACCGCTCGCTGCTTCCCGACAGGAAAGCGACTGCTTTTTTTCGCTCGCTCACTCGCTTTTGTTCGCTCGCTCGCCCCTGCTATGGCTGGCTTCAGAAACATCTTTCGCTTGCCAACTGACCGCTGGAGTAACGATGATCGTACATTGTATGTATAAACTTATGTTTTTATTCGTAATAAATTTAGGTTTTAATGACGATTCAAAATACAATGCGTATTGCTTCTCTGTATTGGGAAGGGGGACAAGGACTCTTTCAAATCACTTGATACATTGTAACGTTTGCTACGCAAGTCAAACTGTGACTTGTATTTACATATTTACGTCCTTGTGTGTGCGTGGTTGAAGCAGCTATATAACTGGTCAATCAATCATGATATGTATTGAGTACTAGTATTTGTGTGTTGTGTTTCTGTGTGTGATTTTGACTAAATTTATTCTGAACGGCACTCAAAATAATTTGACACTTTGTTATTTGCGATCGCAACTCACACTATGACCCTTACTCAATTTGCATAAGTAATACGAATGCTGTAGTTCCGAAAATCTATCGGGTTAACTTTTGCTTGTGTCTGGGTGCCCAAAATATTTGTATTATTATACCGAATAAATCTTAAAACAGAAATTGTGGCACTCAATCATGGCAATCTTCCAGGTCAATTTGTTAGAAAGATTTTCGGAGGCAAATGTAATTTCCTGCAATCCTTCAAGATAGCCTGGAGTGGGGCTCAAGGCTATCGTAAAGGATTGCAGGAAACTGACCCTTACCAATTCATATTTATGAATTAATCGTGATTCAGGTATCATAGTGTTTGTAACAGAGTATTCCTAAAGATACGCAAAAAAAAAAAAGAACTTTCATGCAAACATTGTCAATGGTTCCCTAACACTGATTCCTTTTTAACTTTCAATTTCTCTGAGACGCGGCAAACCCTGCTCATGACCGGAGACGTTGTCAAGATGCAGGTGCGATTCCTTGTCGCAACATTCTATTTGCATTGATTTTGTTCTTTTATTCACCAAATCTATCACTGGCAGCGTTTGTTTTGTCGTGTCTCACAACTTAATGTCTAAGCTGACTTTGTTTTGGCTGTAAATGAACTACGTACAGCTCATGAAAGTATTTCGCCCAGAGTTCGCAAAACGGAATACCCTGCAACATTTGAATCCTTTATTTTATAACGAGACATTGAGTGCAAAAATAAAAACCATAATTGTAATTCAACAAGTTTATGTAACGTGTTAGTCCGCTTGCCAGCCGCCTAGTTAAAAAAACGTGATCTCCATTGATGTCAACTTCAACAACTTCAGATAAGTAAGATGGGCACTGGCCGACATTACATTTGCAAGTATTGTATTTGTTCGACAAATTGTACAGTACGGTCATTCTATAACAATCAATTGGTCTTTTTTTTTCACAGTCTTACTATTCCTGCAGATATTCCTCAATTGTTATAGGTACCACGGATTTACGTAACTACAACTTAACCCGTGTTAAACTCAAACCATGCGTGCATGGCAACTGTCACCCTCCACGGTTACTCAACGAATACCGTACTCTACAATAGACATTTTTGTGAAAGATTGGTAGTTTTGACCAGATTTGTAGGAATCTGAAAAACGCGTTTCTCAACTTGTCTCTTATTTAGTTTTATGCTGCATTCAAGATGGCGGCCCCTATATAATAAATATCGTATTTATTTTATTAATACGTGTGCGCCAGCTGACTGGATCATGGATACATCAGGGTTCTTGGTATGAAATTTAAACAAACCCATAAATTTAACAAGTCATTGAAAATGACACAGTCCCCGTTAAGTTCTCTTTGTGCTCGTCATATTAAAGCGAAGGGGTTGTCGCGAGCGTGTCCTTGAAACTTGAGTTCCAAGTGGCGTATACAACAGATAGTTTATTTACATCAAAACACGTGTTTCGTGTCATAGTAATATGGCCAAAATAAAAACAGTCGTTATTCGGCCATCTTTGATCTGATTATGAAACACACTGATATGTATGATGTATGTGCCAAATACGAATGAAAATGGTACATAAATTGAGGAAATATAGTAGTAAGGCCAAAAAGTCAGATGGCTGTCAATCGGCCATCCTTGACCAGATTTTGAAACAAATTGTCATGGACATGCATACTAACATGTATAAAGTACATGTATGTGCCAAATTTGAATGAAAACTGACAGAGCATGTCCAAGATACCGCATAAAAAAATCAAAAACAAGATGCCTGCCAGTCGACCATCTTTGATCCAATTGCGAAATAAATCGTCATGGACATGTATCCTAACGTGTATAATCTATGTACCAAGTTTGAATGA